ATCATCCCTCCGTCCTCCATCCCAATCTTCTATCCTCTGTCCTAACCCTCCACCTGTCCATTAGTTCCACCATTCTAGCGCCTTTCCTGCTCCTCCTGCACCCTATCACCCACTAAACTATTAATCTCCCATTCTATTCCCAGCCACACACGTACGGTCATCCCCCACTCTGATTGGCTAATCCACCTGATCCACCTGCTGGCCCACCCAGCAACCCACACACCTGATGCCAGATTAGAGGGTGGGAGGGCTGGAATGGGGAGGAAATGGGGAGTGAAATGGGAAGAAGAACGGGAGAGATATATCTACCTCAATTGTGGCAATGTATATACACACATCTAAACATACATATCTCAGTGTACGTGGTTACAATAATATATATTATATATATATATATATATATATATATATATATATATATATATATATATATATATATATATATATATATATATATATATATATATATATATATAATACTACATATGAGTGTGTGTGGGTGTGTACGTATATTTATTTATATATTTATATATTCGGTGACGTTTCTGGCTAGTCTTAAGCGTGGAACTTCCTCCTTTGGAATACAAATGCTCGCTCGAGAATTTACTTGCCAAAATACTCACATGTGTAAATCTACCAATACTTTCCCTTTTTTCTAAAAAGTCGTTTAATGTTTCTTGTTGGATGTCATGAAATTAATGAGGACCTGAGAGGTCTTCAAAGAGAAATTAAAAAAAATTGTGAAAAATTTCACTTTTCGAAAATTCCACTCGGCTTCGTTGCTATATATATATATATATATATATATATATATATATATATATATATATATATATATATAATATATATATATATATATATCTTGAACATCGTACACTGAAAAATAAACATGGACAGTGTTCCAGGCAGCCTCCATCAGTTCCCGGAGAGGTTTTTGCATATTTTGGCCGGGGGATCTGGAAAGTGGGATCGCGGATCCAGCGGGACTTAAAGCTTGGTAAGCTGACAAGCCCACGTC